AGTACAAGAAGACTCCCAACCCTGAATGCTTTATGAATGTTGTAAGTTGGGTCACTTTCTCTCCGTTTTTGTCTAAGGCGTCTCTCCAAGTACCACTACCACTGCCCCATCACTAACAGTCTCTGTCAGGAGGCTAGGAAGGGCCCCTTCTACATTTCCCATTTTCCCAACCTGCCTTTTCCAAAACGACTGCATTAGAGTCACTGCTGCAACGAGGGCCAGCTCTCAACGTGCCAGGGACAGATGTGACTTTTGCACATTGCATGAGGACAGACACATAGTGCTGCAATGGAGAGTGCTGGCTGCTACTTTTGGCTCCAGACAACTCCTCAAAACCACCTGAGGGGCACTGGAGATCCAGTCTACTGCATTTTGACCCCGGCAACAGGACTCAGCCCTGGACTGTGGCCAGAGCACAGACTACATGCTCCAGTCCGTACCAAACTGAACAACAGACTTTCGCTGCCTGCATTTAGGGTGAACCCCAACAGATATATGATGAACACGAGGCTGGGTCATGCCTCATAACACTTGTTTGCAATCATCTTTCTCAACCCACATTGGGTTTTGGGCTACCGCACAGAGAAGGGAAGACTGCAATCCTGGCAAGAGGACAAATATCCCTCCAGCACTGTGATAGGGAGCACCAGCCTAGGAGGAACTTTGATACTCCTATCCAAACAGTCCAAGGTGCCAGAGAGAATTCCTTTGCAGTGGAGGCAAAGGCTGGTTTCTAGTCTCAAGGGAAGCAAAGTCCTCCCCTTCTGTAACAACCTGTTTGCTCAGTACAGTGGCAAGAGAGGTTGAAACCCTTCTTCAAACAGCAGGTTATCACAACACAAAGTAATCCAAGACCCCTTGCTCTGAATCACCAAAGATTTCCTCACAGTACATGCAAAATTAGGTGTAGGTGGTCTCAAGAGCTCCTTAATGACAAGAGCTCCACCCTTGTTTGCCTTGCATGCATGGCTTGCCTAATCACACTTTGGCAACAAAGCCCCACAGCTTTTGGCATTGTCTTATACAGATACTGCTACATATTTAATCTGTAGAAAGGTATGATCTGCATCAGCCTTGCAAAACATGATGAACTATCTCCCCAAAGGTTAGTCACTCAATACAGTTCTGCTTTGTCCCATCACATGGGGTCAAATACCAGACAACTACCACCTAAGCAGGTCTGAAGACTTTTGATGCATGTTTTTACAAGACCTGTAATATTTATTCTGAGCCATGGTCCCTGTGGCCAGGGGCCTTGCGCTGCCATCACAGAACAGCCCACATCCACACTGCTCAGCTCGGTGACCCTCCAAAACAGGACAACTTGCATGTTAATAAACTCTCCCTTGGCTTCCCACAGAGTGAAATTATCAGATATCATGGATACCCCAGTGAGGAATATCAAGTTACCACAGAGGATGGATACATTCTGGGAGGAACAGCCAAAATACAGGTGGGACACAGTTATAGGACATAAGGAAAGTCTGAGACTCAACTCTTACATGGTCACCCATCTTTCACCTTTGCACATGCAATGGCGTGTTCCACACATTTACATCTCAGCAAGAGTACCTAGACAGGAATGTGGCCTGAATCCATCTGAAGTCCACACATTCAGTGTCTCTGTCCTTATTTCAGAGTTTTCTAATAATTCTGTCATATCCCAGTTTTTGTTCCATCATGTGGGATGAGAGAGGATTTGGTAGACTGAATTTGGGGAGGTTTTACATTAACATCCTAAGTAATATACATTTAAAATAGAAGCCTGACAACAAAGCCTCTCAGGTTAGGCTTCTGAATATTAATTCCCAGCTTTCTGAAAGACAGAGATATTCTTAAGGAAGGTGATAATAAATCAGGTCATCAATGAAAAGCAAATGCATTTCATCTGTTTCAGCACATTTTCTGAATGGAATAAAAATTTCTACCTGGAATTCAAGGTACCCTGGATACTGCTACTTGGTTTATTATTCTTTGTTAGAGTTGCATAATTATTTATTTATTTATTTTGGATGCCTTCTTCTATTTGGATCTCCTCCTTTGGAGATCATCTGAACGAGCCTCAGTCTCAAAGTAAGGTTAACCAAAGCTAGATCAGGGGCCTCAGCCCTGCTCAGTTGGTTACTGAATAGACCTAAGGGTAGACATGCTTCTTTGGATGAATTATTCTTTGTCCTCCATACATTGTTATGCCTTCAGCAGTTTTCAGCTATGGGTAGAACATTTCAATATAGGGACCTGTAAGTTAGCTTTCCAGTGCAAGAAGAGGTGAGAACAGGCCTCCTCATTACATTTTTTGCTAGTCCTGTCATGAAATGGTTATGAAATGTCATTAAATGGTTCCTGCTTGCATGGACAAATCCTTCAGGTTTCTCAGACCAATATCTATGTGTAATTCTCCTGGGAGCTTCTTGAAGAAGGAAAGATTTATAACCTCTCACAAACTAAACTCTGCACTCCAATCTTAAATACACATTAACTACTGCTCCAATATAAGAATACTTTCATCTTTTCCAGGGCAAAAGCCTGTAGTCTTCCTACAGCATGCTTTTCTAGGAGATGCTACCCACTGGATTTCTAATCTGCCCAACAACAGCTTGGGCTTCCTCCTCGCAGATGCTGGCTTTGATGTCTGGATGGGAAACAGCCGAGGGAACACTTGGTCTTTAAAACACAAGACCCTTAATCCCAGCCAGAAAGCGTTCTGGCAGTTCAGGTACTCTGTAGAGGGAGAATTACTCAAGACAGAAACTCCAAGGGGACTAGATAGCTTCAGCCTGATGGTTTTTACCTAAACCAGCATCAGAACAGGAGAGTAAAGAACCAGATGAAGAAGGATGCTCAGTGCTACTCAGAGTTGGGACCATTGGCCGGGGAAGAGATTTCAGACATGGGGAAATGAAACGGGATGCTGAGGAAAAGTGAGACAGTACTGGGAGAGGGAGAACAAGAACCTCAGCTGGAACAGGCAAAGGAGCTTTGTCTAGAAATCTGATTTTTCATAGCTGAATTCAACCAAGAGAGAAATGCATTTTGTAACCCCTGCTAGTGAAAGCACTGTTTAAATTCAGTTCCCTAAGGGCTGCAGCTGACAGACAAAACTGGCACCTCCTTCACAGGGAGCCCAAGGCATCAGGCAGCCTGGCAGTCCAGCTGCATCCCTCTACCCCCTTCCCCAACTCAAGCAAGAATGCAGACAGAGCGCCCAACCTCGTCTTCCAAGGGGTCCTGCTTGGTGCAATGACCAAAACTGACATTCAGTAACTCACACTGTGACAGCCGAATGGTCTGCTAGCTTTTTGTGTTTCCCCCCGTAGCTTTGATGAAATGGGTAAATACGATATTCCAGCAGAGCTGTACTTCATCATGAACAAAACTGGGCAGAAGGACGTGTACTACGTTGGTCACTCTGAAGGCACAACAGTAGGTAATGTCAAGACACTCACGCGCGGTTCACAACTTCTCATGTTCCTATCTGATCAGTAGGTGAGTCTCCCCATTGATTCAGTTGTTTTTCTTGTTTGTGGAGAGCTAGCAAACTGATAAGTGCCTTCTGAGCTGAGATTTGGAGAATATAAAAAATTCTAAAACCAGCTTTGGTTACCCTTAATAAGCAAAGAAACCTAATAGCAGATCCAAATGTAGTTCAACTTTTTAAATAATTAGAGACATAAAAGTGGTTGTTTACTGGGTACTTCAGGTACTGGCATTGGGTATTTTTCTTAAATTCTCAGCAATAGAATTTTTAAATTCATCTTTTGCATTAAGACATACAATTATTTTCCTTGTGAACAGTAAGAAAAAACTAAAAAGGTAAGATAGCACATACGATACATAATTTCAAATAACAGAAGTCAAGGAAAAAGAACCTGAACATTACTAAGTTATGTCACTTAATGGCCATCTTACAATTTAAAGCATAGCTCATGAGTGGCTGTAATGGGCCACATTACTGTTTAAAAGCATATTGCCAGAGACTGAAAATTAGGAAAGAAAAAACATTAATAACTTGTTTTTTCTTGGTGCCAGCATTTAGCATTAACTCACTGCAAGGCCTCTGAATACAACTAACTTTCTTTTAGCATCAGCTGAAAGTTCCTGATGTTTATGGTTTTTGCATGAGATCCATGAATGGATCCATGAATAGAAATGAGCCAGTTTGTTAGTAAATGACCCAGAAAAAAAGAGAAGGAAATGTGGGAAAAACATATATAATTGCAGCTCCAGACCTTCTCTTTCTTTTCATGTCATAAGAGTATTCAGAGACCCTCATGACAAAAACCTCTAACCACACAGGTTTTCTTCAGTTGCCTTTGATGCAAACAATCAGTTGAAAACACTCAAAGCTCCCAATATTCAGCTAATTATTCTACAATTTTATGGAAGCATAAACATACATAGACCTTTAGAGACTATAATCTGAAAAACTTATTTTTTTATGAGAATTTTTTGAACTTTAGAGGGTACTGATTTTATCTCAAAAACCTCATTGACATGTTGCCTACAAAAACTGTTCTGATAAAGGCAATGTCTCTAAAGCTCAGAATGAACTTTGCCTCCTGAATAAAATTAATTTCAGGACTTCAACACTTACCTTAGGTAAAATATGCAGCACAGACAAACATGGACAACAGGCTGCAAATCTAGTCTCACTTCTTGTTTGCTACCTACTACTCATTTATTTATTTTGTCTGTGGAAGAAGTCTTCACTAACTCAGGCTGTCTATTCTGTGTTTGCAGGCTTCATAGCATTTTCTACCCACCCTGAGCTGGCTAAACGGGTGAAAATATTCTGTGCTCTGGGCCCAGTAACCACATGCTCACATGCTACAAGCCCTCTGATTAAGATAACAAATGTTCCTGAACCACTGCTCAGGGTATGTAGTTTTTCCTTCTAAGAGGCCCAATGCCTGACTCATCTTTGCAGGGTTCCCTTAACCTGAGGCAAATGTTCCCAAGCAGGTGACATGCTGATACTGAGATTGGGATGAATCGAGTGCTCTTGAAAAATCTGTTCCCAAAATCTGTGGGGAAAATACTGGAGACACAGAGCTTGTAGCAGCAGGTCACAGTAAAGTAGGAGACTTGTGAGACTCTGTCTTGTCATGGGACTCTTGCAGCTAACGAATGTTTTGCTGGCTTTATGCAGGAGGAACTAAACCAGAGCTGCAATAACAGCCATGACAATCTCTGGGACTTCAGAAATGAGTGAACATTGAGGCCACTACACTAGAAATGGAAGGGCGGCTTCCTCCAGGATTGGTGCCAGTAATACAAAGAAGGAAGGATATGTGAAGCACTATGGGGAAGAAGGTGTTTTAAGGGGTACTGGGAGGGCAAGTTCTTTCAGCAGTCATTGCATACTGAGTTAGGAGACTAGGCTATGAGCAACAGTTTCCTGCATAAAATGCTCCTGTAACAAGAAAAAAAGTGTTGCACTTTTCTCTTCCCTCAGTTAGTATTTGGCTGCAAAGGAACCATGCACCAAATTGGATTTCTGAAAGGACCTGCAACACAGATATGTACAAACCTGGATAAGTTGTGTGCCCGTATACTCTGTTACATAGCTGGAGGCAGCATAAAAAATCTGAACACGGTAAGCATATGCAAGAACACCTACTCAAAGCTAAGGTGATTTTGGAAGATATCTTTGTGCAGTCTATCCTTATCTAGCAACTGTCACACATGTAAGCATACATAAACCACAACATAGTTCTCAGCAGAGTGAGGGAATGCCAGGACATTGTGTGGTGCAAACCTGCTAAGCAGGAGTAGAGCCAGTGACGGATGGGACCAACAACTGGGCACATTCCAACCCCCAAAAGAAAGGACTGAATTCAGGCTGGAACTATGTTGCATGTGTCAATAGATGTGCGTTCTTTTGGGGCTAAACTGGACAGATTTTGGTCATACACAGATGCTCTTTTTAAAAGAGCCAATGGATGACAGGGTCAGACTTCTTCTTGGTAATACAGTTCCCAGTTTTCTTCCTTAGCCTGTAGACACCAGGGCCCTCTGAACACTGGAGTAATTAAAAGATAGGAAAAAGCTCCTTTTCTCTTCCCACTTTTCAGACTACTTGCACCAGAACTTGGTCCCACAGAACTACTGTAAAGGGCATTTTCCCATTTTTGTTGTCCTCAGAACTGGGCTCAACAGCTCAATCCATAACATGTAGAGCTGCAGAATGCCCTTGCACTGTGCCCGAGGAATGCAACGAACCTGCAGGGGGATTCACAAAGACCAGTGCAGCACTCAGAGGGGACAGGGGAGACAGGAGAGTTGTCCCTATGCTTGCCAACATGTGGACACTGTAGTGTGTCTTAAATCCCCTTTACAGTGGCCAAAGTATGCAGAAGCTGGCCTGTGTAATGTTTATTACCGCAATGTCTGTAATGACGGGGCCCATTTTTTTCTCCATCTATAACCACTTCTAAAAGCACATAGGGGAAAGCTCTGAGAATCAAGAGTTCAATGCAAAAGCAATTAAAGGCATTACAGCCCTTTTGAATTACAGAGCTAAACCATTAAGGATCTTTCCTGACTTGGGTTAAGTCACTAATGTGCTTCTCAGGGCAAGATAACAAGTCTGAGGAGGAATCTGGGGAGCTGGAATTGGAACATCTCCTTAACAGAACTATAAGCTGGCTTCTTTAGCACTAGCAGTAAAGTGAAGAGAAAAACAACTCTTCAAAAGACTTAGACATGCATGGGGGTTTGGTGTGAGGTGAGGAATCTACTTTGAAAGGACTGGAAGGTTTTTCCCTACTATTGCTGAACCACAGGATACCACAGTAGTACAGTCTTCATGGAACAGACTCGCTTTCATGGAGAAAGCATGCAGATGCATCCTATTAGCCAGCTATTCCTAACCCTGCTTCTCATTTTTCTGTCTGATATTTGAAGAATGACCTGTTAAAATGGGGTTTAACACAGCAGCAGGATGTTGCTCAGGTCCTTCACAGCCTTTATAACACTTGTGCTTTCTCTCCAGAGTCGAATAGATACATACGTAGGACATTCCCCCGCTGGAACATCAGTACAGAACATTCTTCACTGGCATCAGGTACAACGGCCTACTGATGTACAAACTCTTGCCACTGCTTTTTTTGCCACTGCTTTTTAGGCAGCCAACAGCCTCCAGGGAATTCCAGAGGCGGTGGATCTGGGAAATGGCTCATCACATCTTCTCACGTGGGGTGCCAGGAACACCTGCCACCGAGGGAGCGCTGTTTCCCAGGGCTCACCAGGCAATTACCTCAATTGCCCCTTTGCTATCAGGCACCGCGCTTTCCCCAGGGCACATCGGGCCTCTCTGCGTGTTGGCCTCTAACGGCTTCCAGCCTTCAGCTTTATTTATGAAGTCATTTGCCTTGAAAGCTGCAGAAGGGAACGTGAGCACGGTCTGGGCGCTTGGCAGGCGGTAGGAGGGCAGCGGAAACTTGAGCGGCCCGGGGATGAGCGAGACAAAGAAGTGATCCAGGTTAAAGCTTTTCTCCCAGAGGGTAATTGCAGCCTGGATCACCTCCCAAAGCCAGTTAATCACACAAACCTTTCTGCTGGCACAGCGGCAAATTGGGGAATTGCCTTAGACTACTCCAGTACATGACAACATTGCTCTACAGGAATGTTCACATCAACCAGGTTTTTCCAAGTCCTTTTTAGTCACTCTCACCACTGCCCAGATCCTGGCTCCCAGTTCTCAGAAGGTGGGTTTCTATTTACGCGCTGGCAGATCTGAGCTTGTTCTGCTCATGGTCTGAATCAGACCAGGGCAAGACAGCTGCAGCCATGAAACCTCACCGCATGTGTCCAGGTGTACCTGCTGAGCCAGGATACATCTGCGTATATGCTATGGGCAGACCCCCCATTTCTGCAAACACTTGATATTGTCTAGAATATAGGCATGGTCCTGAGGACACCCCTCACAAAATTTCCCAGCAGTCAGTCCTGTAAGATACACCTACCCAGAGCCAGGAAATGGGGGCAAACCATTTACAGCCCGTGGCTTTACAGCCTATAACAAAGTGGCTACAAAGCAAACACAGATACATCAGGATAGAAGAAAACAGCAAAGGCAATACAGCAAGCGGATTTCTAGCACATTTCCAGCTACTTGAAGCCTTGAAGTCAAGGTTTTCTAAATTGACAGACACTTTCTCTCATCCTGCATTACATACAACACTCACAAATGAAATTACTTCTCAGGTTTGTGCAAAGAATAAAATAAAAATAAAATTACAAAAAAACCCCAAACCAAAACAAAACCACAACCCAAAGAAAAACCCCCAAACAGATGTGTACTTAACTCTTCACTCAACAGTGCTGCAGGGCATATATCACATCTTTTAGACAACACAGACTCAAGAAGGCAAATGTCCTGTGTCTAATGTTCAACCTCAAAACTGCTGTCAGAGCACAACTTGTGTATATCCAAACTCTTGTGAGTATGGGGCCTCTGGAAATGTCACCGCTACTGTGAGCGGACCAGACAAAACTGACACACAAAAGACAAGATGTGTAAGAAGAGATCTTGTACCACACTAGACTAGCAATAGCCCTGACACGTTCCAAACATTCAGGTCCTCTTTCCATGTGACAACTGAACCCAACCCTGCAGCATGAATAGGGACTAAGGCAGACAAGCAAAATTCTAAGAACAAAACATAGCAAGGGTGGCGGCTGAGGATCTGGAGAGAAAGTTATCGAGAGGAAAGGCAATGAAGCCAGGGGAAGGGGTGGGAGGAACTCACAGCCCCTGCCTGCGCCTTGGCTTCAGTCACGGGCAGGAAAATGCCTCCTGCACTCTGCTGCTTGGCCTCTCAATGCTTCCATTTCATCTCTTCTTTTAACAGCTAACACATACAGACCGATTTCAAGCTTACGACTTCGGCTCTAAGGAAAACATGAAGAAATACAACCAGGTAAGGCAATATGGGTTCCCTGAGAACTCATCCCTGGGTCCTGGCAAAACTAAGAACAGAACAATTCAGCTTTTAGCACCTTGACTGCTATGGAAAGAGGGAGAGAGTGGTCGTAGAGAGTGGTTGGAGAGAATGTTTCACCTGAACCTAATACTCATGGGTGGAAAAGTCTATTCAGAGCCGAGGCACAGACACATCCTTGCAGACAGCTGGCAGAAGCTCATTTTCCCTCCCCCACAGATACAGGGATGTGTCCAATGACACGTCAATTTACCCATCATTCCCAAAAGTCTGAGAGCTACACACATGTCCTAGGACTGGATGAATATGGAGCTCTTCACCTCCTCAAAATCCTCAAGGTCTGCCTTTTAGTTAAGTGAGAAAATGATCTCACAGCTACAGTGACCTCTCCAATTGGCTGACAATTACTTCACCTTTAACCATGCCATTTGCCTTGCAGTGTCCTGTGCTGTACCAGGGCAGGCTGCTTTTCACAGACAGAAGGGCTCCAGAGATATAATCAGTCACTTCTACCCATGCACTCAGAAATTTTCTAGAGTGAAATTATAAATGGACAAAGTATTTCCTTGCCACTGAAGTTCCAAGCGTAACAACTGGTACCAACAGTTGCACTCACGCCCCAACAAAACTTAAAGATCTTCCCACTCTAAATATACACATGAATAAGGTCCACAGTCCTTGCCCGATAAGCACAGACACTGCTCTTTCCAAATCCCCACCGCCAAAGGGCACGAGCAGGTGTCAAACTGCAGGACAGCTCTTAGCCACGCGTTGCAGAAAGACACAGGAACAGGACGGATCGTTCCCTTCCACGGCGGGCAGGGAGCGGCGCTGGGGAAACAGACACTAAGCGGGCGGCCTCGATCCTTACTGTTTTATTGGAGAGAGCGCAGGAGGGAAGGAGCGATGCTTGCACAGGGTGCCCGCTCTAAGCACAGCTTCTGATACAAGAGCACTCACTCAGGTCTCCTCCCTTCCTTACAGTCTTTTCCTCCTGCGTACAAGATCGAGAAGATAAGAATACCAACTGCTGTTTGGAGCGGCGGACTTGACAAATTTGCAGATCCAAAAGATTTGGCAATGCTACTGCCTCGGATTACCAACCTCATTTACCATGAGCATTTTCCTGCTTGGGGACATCTTGATTTCATCTGGGGCCTTGATGCAACTGAGAAAGCGTATTGGAAAATCATTGAACTAATAACAAAATACTTGTGAAACCACATGCAGAGTGTTAATTCACTCAGTAAACCCCTCCAAAATTTCCATTTGGCAATACAGGTGATGCCTGGGGAAGAGGTAAACACACAGACGCACATAATGGATATGAGTATAGGCATTTATCTGCACTTTGTTGTTTCTTGCTTTCCTCTGTTTGAGGTTTTCCATGGTGTTACTTTGACTGCTGTATTCCTGAGAAGTTTGAGGTGTATAGGTATTTGTGTCTTCCCATGAAGACCCAAAAGTGGGATTTGCTCATTTGTCTGTTGAAGTACAACTGACCTTTGTTTAAATTAAATCATTTATCCACTTGACAGAGAACTTGGCTTTTTTTTCTCCCCCTCCCCATTTACCGACAGTGTCAACAGAACCAAGACATTTTCAGATACAAGAAACAAAGCAGGCAATATATGACTTCCAAACATCAAGGAATCCAACCTCAGAAAAACTCATAGAAGTATTCCCTTGCCCTCCATCCCCTCACATCACCCAAAGGTTTGTTCACACTCTTAAAATACCCCAACTTCAAAGACCATGGATGGCAGCTGAGGAATGAGGAGATACAGACCTGTCAGACAAGCTGCACTCCAAGCAATACAGCTTCCACCCCACAAATTATTCTTGACACTGGCAATGAAGGTCTTGCAAGCTCTCTGAGCTGTCAGCTTTGACTTTTACATAACTCTGTGTCTTGACCATTCTTTGTTCAAGCCGTTTCTACAGTGTGGGAAAGCAGTCAGCTCTTTTCCCTTTCCGGCTGTTAGCCCAAAGAAAGAGCACCTTCATTATTCAGGTAAGTGCCTCACATCTACTCACCTGCAAGTTGATCTGGTAGGTAAGAATGTCTGTCCCCAGATTCATTATTACAGACTCAGACAGGGTAGCTTTCTTTCCCAGGGTGTTTCTGGGTGGGGCCTCAAGCTCATATTGCCCAACCAAGACCCTTTGTAGTTGGAGTCACCTTTCAATAGAATAGTCACACCGAAAAAGATACCATGTTCTGCAACACAGGAAAAATACACTAGCTTGTCCATGCACCTAGTCCAGCAGCTCTTAGCAGTGCTGATCATGGCATCTGTCTTCTGAACTTACGACAGCTTAGAGGAAATGGCCAAAACTATCAACAAAAATGAAGAACCATTAGACAAAGAAAGCAAGAGAGTGCAGCATTTGAAAGGAGATTCCCCTTTATTGCTGCATTATTAAATCACAAAGCACCAGGCCACATTAATGCATTGCTTACCACTGCAGGTTTTCTTCTGCCTTCACCTATGCAAGAGAAGACTCATGAATTTATTATTATTTTGGTATATGCATCCCCTGCTGCACACGCCACTCTGAAAAGCGTGCTATCTTATCCAGTCCCGCAGGAAGGATACATGTGGTTCCCATCAACAGCATTTCATTTATTGATTTTTTTTCTTTAGCACACTGTTTATATTGGAAAGGTAGTCAAGAGACCTGTTTCTCTAGTGCACCAAACATATTTTCAGCTTTTATTATCAACTTATTAATGCATTAAAGTGACCAAGGAATTGGCTTGCTTTGTGGTCTCCAGCAACTCATTGAATCTTTTTGCTGTTTCTTATATGAGAAAGAAGAGAAGATAATCCTTCCCTTGTAGCAATATGGTGAGAATTAAGGTGTGTGTGAAACTTTTGGCAGGGATGGAAGGAGGAATTGCTAAGCTGAGACATCTATTTTCCCAGTCACTCCTATTGCAGGAAGACAAATACAAAGAGGAAGGGTACCAGGCTTTGCATAAACTGCTGTGGCACAGTGTTCAGTTGTCAAGTGTATCCCCTATGGCACAAGTAACACACACTCTGAAGGATATTTTATTCTTGCATTGGCTGCCAACCATCTTGTTCAATGTTTAGGCTTCCAGACATGTTATAGCTAGCTTTCAAAGCCCACAAGCAAATCCAGTAATAAAACTGGGGAAGCAGATGGGAAGGGCAGTATTTTGAATGCTATTGTAACCATTCACGGCTTACTAAAATCAAATTAACTCCTTTCAGCCCACGTGCCCTTGGGGTACTGACAAGCCTCACACAAAATAGTCAAAGTCTGCAGCAAGGAATGGGTGGATTTGGACCAAGTCTTTATCAAGTAACAGCCCTTGACCCTCTGCAGGACTCCTGCTGCTGTGCAAGATGGATTCCCTGATGAGGTAATTTTCTGCATGTTCAAGAGTCCTTGATGACTAGGAAGATCTCCTTAGCATGCTTTCAATGTTGTGGAACTGCAGTCTTCTTGCTATATCTAAGGGAGTCTCCCCATTCTGAAAGAAACAGATGAAATACATTGCAATATAATGGATATGGGTCAAGTACAGCGAGCTTTCCTGAATTTGCCAGCCAGATGCAATGCTCTCCTGCATAAGTTCCACTGTCACATCCTTGCTCTAAAACAAAGGCTTCAGAACCTGCTGGGTCTAACACTTCTCTCGCCGACGCCAGGGGGAGAGTCCTCCCCTCTGGTAGCGACAGCCCTTCCACTGTTTCTGGGGCTAATGTCCAAAGTCAGTGCAGAGCTAAGCTAAGAGCTGGTTTCAAGAGCAATGCGGGCAATACATTGCTCACCTCAACTCAGTAATGCAGCTACTCCCAAGTCAATATTTATCTGGACAACATTTGAGCTTTTGTGATGACAGAAGCAGCTTGACTTAGTCCCCCTCAGAAGAACGGTGTCCAGTGGTGCACAAAACACCTAGGAAGGCTCTTACCGCTCCCCTGCAGCCTGCGCCTTAGGAACAACTGTAGAGCAGCTCTGAGTTAAGAAGAGGTACCATAAAGACAGCTAAGAGATCTGCCAGTCCAGTGGACATGCAGGCAGTGCTTACTGGTAGAAATCCAGCAGTGAAGGGTTTGGATTTAGAAGTTGCTCTTGCCAACAAAGGCAATGGAGCAAACGTTGCTTTATACCACACAGCAAAGAAGCCTGCTGCCAGAAAGCTGTGCACCCTTTTTTTAAGCTGCTGCACACCAGCTAAGGCCTATAGCATACTGATTCACCATCATGATCAGGAAACAGTTATCAGCTTCACCTTCTTACCTGATTCTTTATAGACGTGTCTGCGTGAGCTCCAAGCAGTAGAGGAATGACTGCCTGGTTTTTCATTTCACAAGCATAGTGAAGGGCTGTGCTACCAGACTGAAGGGAAACAGAAGCAGATGAATTTTAGTTCTATTACTTTTTTAGTAGACCTTAGGCAAGCACGACAGCCGAATGCCAAAGACACATACCATCCCCGTTACTTTACACTACACAGTAAAACAAGTACATTCTTATAAAAGCAACAGGAACAAAAAAATCATTCCTCCCCCAGGAGGCAGCTGCTAAAACAGATCTGTTACCTTTATCAGGAAGCCAATAATTCCTTAGTAGTTACAGGAAATTCCACTGATCTTGATCTCAACAACTATGTCTTAAGCAATACGGCTCACACTTCAGTGTTTTATATGGTGCTGCTAAAAGTGAGAGTTCTTCTTTTATACCTTAGAGGAGAGGAGCTCTTTACCACACCCAAGTAGGCCAGTGGCTACACAACTCCACACGTGGCAGATCAGCACACTCTGAAGATCAAGAGAAGACACAGCGTCTAGCGCTGTGGCCACAACCTTTGCCCACAAATCTGCTCCGGTCCAAGAACTCAAAATTGGTGATAAACTCAAACCCTCATGCCACTAGAATCTTTATAGGATCTGGTGTTTAGTACGTAAGTATCTCAGCCCAGCTTGTCTGGATTCTCTTAAGAGGGCATTGGTCAGAAAGGAAGAATTAGTTGTTCAGTGGAGAATTATTTCTGTGTACATCTCAAAACTGTTGCCTAAGTGTCACTGAATCCTCCTGCTACATCACAGCCAGTTTAGTCCCTGATCCTACGCTGAAAGCAGGACTGCATTGCTAGAAGATTCTCAAGCCTGGTTTTAGTAATGTTATGTTTATATCACGTTTATGTTATGTTAGTTTAGTATGCATACAAACCACATTTGCATTTGTTCAAACCCACTTACAAAGTCTGTAGCGTTAACATCCACTCCAGCTCTAAGCAACATCTTGATCAGGTTTTCATTCTGTTTAGTCTTTGAGACCTGTTTGGTGCAAGGGAAGGTGTAACACAGTAAGTTCATCTGCATATAGTACTAAGTAGATTTTGGCTAAATACTAGGGTTTTTTCCAAAAAAAAAAAAAAAAAAAGACTGTCTAGCTTCTGCAAATGCCAGGCTGATGCAGCGATACAATTCTGTTCCTTCACTAGCTATATTCACAACAAAATCCCTGCTTTTTCTGCTTCTCTCCATCAGTCCTTGGTTTAAAAACAGCGGTCCATATCTATACAGATTCCTGGCCCGAAATACTGCCATGAGAAAGGTGGCAAGGGGAAAGGGAAAGGTACAGGGGCTTTCCTGCTTTCATCCAGACTCACCATGAGAAGGTATCCAATAAGCATGACTGGCATGAGGATTATGATGAGCACATAGTCAAGGAAGGTAAACCGTTTTCTCACAGCATAATGCAGACATGTGCGGTCTTTCTAAACACAGAATAACTCTGATTAGTACCAGATTCAGTGATCTGATTATATTTGTCTAATATTGGCAATAGTAGACCATTCTATATTTCACCAGCTTTCTTTTAGGTTATCTACTAGAAATAATTCTCTGATTTTCAAGCAGAAACAGACATATGCATTTGCTTCCTTCAAGTAGAAGCACATTTAACACATCCAGGCTCATGGAAATTGGGCTACACGTGCAAGAAGGGTGCAGGATCCAAAGGATTCCATGTGCATGTCTGCAAACTTGGACATGGCTGCAGAGGGGAAGAGAGAAGGGGAGGATA